CATTTCCATGTGAAGAAAATCAACCGTATAATTGGCAATTGAACTGTAGCGTCGACTGACTATGTATGTTAATGAGTGTAAAGTGTGACATTAGAAATGGTAAAATTACGCTACATAAGCAAATAGTTTGTGTTATGAAGAGTTAATTATTTCTGATCTTTAATCAAATTTGTGGAAAGTAGGCTAGATGAGAGTCTTGGGAAGTCAGATATAAGTTAAACATTAACTTGTTTGAGTAGTCTGAATTTGGTTGAAGACCTTGAATGATGAAAATCAAGTGACCTAAGAGCATTATTTTGGCAGTGTTGACATCGGAACATGTAAACTAGTTCTAAGTGAAATCTAGAAATTCCCTAGTGTTGATTTGTGATTATGTATAATTTAAGCAAGAATAATCAAATCGCCAATCCAAAACAATCAAGACAAGAGACACAACAATTTTACGTGGAAAAAACCACAATTGGACACTCCCAACTGTGATCAAAAAACCCGGGCCAACCAGCACAAAACAATCCACTAAGAACATTTAAAGGAATTACATAGGTATCCTCAATTACCTAGCGAAATCCACGCCTAATTGAACCAAACGCTCTATGTGCCTTTCCACAACCCGTCATTAACCTCAAGAATTGTCTTTACGATGAGCCACGCCTGGATCCACCAAGCTTCAGGCTCGAATTCTTCGAATCCACCGAAGAACAACTCTCTCTTTTATATAGCAAAAAAACCTTTGCATGTACTCTCTTTTACAGCCAGAAATTGATACTCAATAAAAACCAAAAAAAACTCACAAAGTATTATCCCACAGATATAAACCTAGAACCAAAAAGAAGAATCTTGGAGTAGCAATCTAAACCAATGACACCGAACACGCGAATTTATGAATCTGTCCCCGCGTCTCCGCTTCGAAGCGCCAACAGCCCGCTCGAGTTGGCTTTCAGCAAATACTGCGCGAAATATACAACCGAGGTGCTCGAGCGCCTAGAGAACCCGCTCGAGCGCGAAATCACACAGCTCAAGCTAATTTTACAGGCGACCAAAAACTTCTGGAACCAGGGAAATTCTCCGCTCGAGCGGGGGAATGTCCCGCCTCGAGCGGACAGCAACTTGTGGATGCATTTTTGCATTTTGCTTCGGGGCGCTGCCCCTCGAGCCCGTCGTGGCGCTGCCCCGGAGCCGCAAGGAGCCGCTGCCCCTCGACCCCGCAAGCTGAACCGGGCACTCAATCCGTCATAATCAGCGAAGTGGCAATTTGAAAAGCTTTAATCAATCAAAACTTCTGCTGAAAGGCTTGAATTCGGGTTGGAATTTCGCATCTAACAACTCAAGCCTCACTGAAAAAAAATGCGAATAAAATTACAACCAAAAGGAGTTTTTGTCAAACGGGATTGCCAAGATAACACCTACACTAAGTTTTCCTTGGGATAGATGAAATTAGTATATGGTTGGGTTGTTTTCCACTTGTTTGATTAGACTATTTTTGAGGTTATGTGTTAGCCTCAAGGCTGATTATCTTGGTCTGTATTTGGAAATAGGTATGGTCTTTAT